GGCAGTTGCTGCAGAATCAAAAATCTCTAAAAAAATGTTGTTTTTTCCTCAAAATTTTTAATGTTGGGCAAAGTCAAAATGAAACACCCATTTCAGTTTTTTTTAAATCCAAACCAAAATATTTTGCACTTTTTCTGATCTAAAACTTAAAAAAAAAAAAACCTCCTTATGAAAGGAATAATTCCAACCTCCACATTAGGATCCATGTGCCTCCCATAAATATAACACGTTTTTTCTTTCACCAAGCTGTGATTAAACATGGTAGTTACATGGCTTAGGGTGCATAATAAAAAATGAAGCCCAGTCAGGAACACTGACCAATAGCTCTTATACTGATATCAGATAGCAACCAAAGGATGATATATCAACATTTCCTGAAGGATGAAAACTCCAAATATCATTTTTCTTTCACAGCCATTAGTGGAAGCAAACTGTCACATTTAGCCACACTAGCATGGTTTACACAAATTATTTTACCAACTTCTCCTGAAAAAGCAGTGTAGCAAAGTGCTTGCGTCTTGGGTTTGTTGCCTTAGAGAAGAGAATTTTGGTTTCAGTTCTGCCCAAATATTACTTTACTCAGATGCTCAACCTATAACACAGAAGACTGACAGTCACCTCTTCAAGTATAGGAAGAGAGTTGGGGTTAATAAAGACTGGGAATGGAAGGAAACATTAACAACAATTAGAGCAAATGCTGGGCCTAAAACTACTCCTCCTTTGGCTTACAGCATGGTTCATATTCCCTCTGGCTGAAAAATGTTGCATGTGATGAAGTCTCACTCTCCCAAAATGCAAAATATCCTGTTAGTCCTATGCAAGTATGTGACAGACGAGTCAAACACTTAAGCTGTGTGACAACTCATAGGTTTTGTTAATGTATTTACATTTTTTTCCAAAAAGGAAATTCTGTCTCAAGGGTTATAAGTCAACAATAAGACATCTTAGCCAATCCTCAGGTCTCATAAATTGTCAAAGTTTAATTGAAGACAAGGACATAATATATACCCCATTCCGCTCTGTACTAATTCATCTAGTCATAATTTTACAGGATTTATTCCCGGAAGAAATATAGCATTACCTACTGAACTTGCTTACTGAGTGACAATTAAAGCTTTAATTTTTGTTAATCATAAATATGTTTAGAAAACTCACTTCTTCCACAATATACTAAGCTATATTTCCACAGAAATATATACTTTGTCCCATTAGTTAAAAAGCTCTTTTTTCTTTATTAAGATAATGGATTTCCAGATTCTCCCAAATTCTAAACAACAGACAATCAGAAACTAAAGGCAGATTAAAATTCTACTAACACAGAGGTCAATCTATATCTGTAATATAGTTCTAAAAGACCAATTCATGTCATCTCAGGCCATGTATACTACGGCGTACAGTTAAATCACTGGAGGAGAATGGAGAGCTGCTTTTTTTTTTTTTTAATAGTTATTTTGGTTCAAGTCTTCTGTGGACACAGACACCTGCATAAGCACACTCATACCACTATACTGCTCCATCTTTCACATAGAGTAATATATACTTATACAAGCTCTTACGCCAGTATCACTGCATCCAATCTACTGGGGTTATCTACTTGCACTTTAAGTAGTCTGACAACATTGCAGTATTAGCAGTTATTAACTTCAAATACAGAAAATAAGCAAACAACGAAACCTTGTAAATACTTATCTCCAAGGTTAATTATATACACATCATCTGACCACATTCAATTTTTCCCTCATCTTATGACAAACTTGCAAAAGAGTCGGAAAGAGAAACATACCAATCACCAACAAAATCACCAAGAGGAATTTTTATTTTATATATGCTCTTCCAGTTTATCAAATTATAAATGTTCATTTCTACTGAAGAAATTTAGAAACATCAGCTAGGTGACACAAGGATACTTACAGGTTCTAAACACAGCTTGTGATTTCAAATACAATAGCTGGTTTGTATCCAAACATCTAATACAGCTACTTCACAAGAGATTCTATGTTGTTTTACTACATTTTCCTCCAATTGTCAGCATTAGAAGCTTTGCATTTTGTTCCAAAGGAAATTATCGTAATACATCCCAATGATATCATTATTGTTCAAATAAAACAGTATCCTGTGCACATTTTTAGAAGTTGAGGCAAAATTTTCAAGTATGTTAAAAAAGTCTTTTAGAAAGCCATTCTTCCATTTAAGAAATGGAAACGAGTTAGAGCCATCTTTGTTAAAGAAGTTTTGCCAGTACTTCAAGGACACAAAATTCCTTTTTAGCATTATCTAAAATGATGCTCCCCTACTCAAAAAAAATTCCTTGGTTTTAGATGTCACACATCACTGGACCGTCTCCCTAATACTCCCCCCAACAAAAATATAATCTTGTCTACACTAATTACAGTTAAAGCAATATAACCGACCTACAATAGATGCAATCAGTGTGATTCTTGATTATACTAGTGTAGCTTATTCCCAAACAGAAATAAGATTGAACTATATTAATACAACTATGTGCAGAGTGAGGTGTATTATTACATCTATATGAAGACACAAAAAAGAAGGAAATGCAACTATTTAAGTACAAAAACTGTATGCGAAATGGACTGTAGGAGTCAGACATATACAGCCAAGATAGGGTCAGAACTTCATGTGTATTCAAGCTGGTTATGGCTCCAACTTTTCTATTGTTAAGCTTTGTCTTAATTATCATTGTATTCTTTGAACACTTGGCTTCATACCCATCTAGTTTCTTTCTACTAACTCAACCATGCATTTTAAATTTAAATATGCAGTCAGAGCTATGGGCCCTAGCCCAGCCACCATTAGACAACGAGATGATATCATCATATTCATACTGGGAGGCATAGGCTGGTAGAGAAGAACAGAGGCCAGATACTCCACAGAGGAAAGGAGCCTCACAGTGTCCATCAGGAGATGCAGCACTGGGAAGGACTTACTGAACCTACACAGCCAAGGCTGCCTACTGTGGACCCTCCTTGCAAACTCAGCACAAGTTTAACCAGCTCCGCAAGCTACCACTCTTCTCACCCTCACGCTGGAATAGCATAATTGGTGGGGGGAAAATAAGAGAGATGGGACTGCTTCCTTATGAGGCTTAAAGTGCTTGTGGAATTATAATGTAACATTACATCTCAATTGTTCTTGCAAACAAAGGCTCCTACTGCTGGACCAATTACAGGAGCCAGACATTTGTTCTCTGGGTGTAACAGCTAATGATCTGCAAATGACTGTAATGAAGGCATATCTCAACCCATCAACAGCTTCAAGAAGGCCTAACAACATACTCTGAGGTAGATTCACATCCCTGAAAGCGCTCCCCCATCTCCATATACAACATGAAATTTTACCTCTTTTTGCATTATGCTTTATGTTGAAATAGATCACAACTCATTATCCACTTACAATTTTGAGTGCTTTTCTGTGCACAAAATACTTTCTTCCCCTTCTAATAAGCTTTCAAAAACATATTTTAGTATAATTTAAAGTACAGTTGAAAAATTCCTAACAGCTGGTAACTACTTACAAGACTTCTGCAAGAGTGTGCGAACACACACACACACAGAGATATATATATATATATACACACATATGTATATGAATGAATGTGGAAGCATGGGCAGCCTAGCCAGTCCAATTTCCTAGCATATTTGCAGAGTTTTAAAATCAACACTTTAGCTACATTTAAAAGGTGCATGCTATTGACATAAAACTTAAGAATTCTTAAGTTCTGCAAATGCCTGAGGTCAAACTCCTGTCCTGCTCAGACTGCTGAGAGTCATGTGGCCACTTGAACAGTAAAGACGCCCAGCACGCTTATCTGTCAAAGCAGGGGCACCCTTGCAGAAATGGGCAGCTGTGCTAATAATTCAGGCGTGTTCCCGCCTTACTAATCTTTATGATGGTTTTTAAGTGAAAGTGCTTTCTAAGAAGTTTCTCCCATCACCATTATTCCTTGATGCTCTCTGACTTCACCAAAATCAAGTACCAAAAAAAGTACTATGGAATGTTCATTTTCAATTTGGTACTGTCTGGTTAACGTGTCTCAGAAATAAAAAAGATGGAATAACTTAATTTAAAAAACAGAGTTCATCTTGGCTAAAAATTTAGTTAAAGGCATATATGGAAAAACTATACTAGGTATTTAAAATGCTTGGCTATGGATTTCGCCATTCATTCTATTTCACATAAAATAGAAGTTTTTGTATTACACCTACACTTGGATAAACTTCTTCAAGAAGGCTGCCAGCTCTGTTGGCAGAGATGGTACAAGATCACAGCAAACGCACTGAGCTCTAATCCCAAACAGTGTTGACTCCATGACTACCACTTCACTAAACCTTCAACACATGCATTCCTAGCTTGTTAATTCCTCAGGTTTAAACATTAAATTGTCACACTCGGCCATACTGAAAAATACCATCATTTAGATTTAACGCCACTCAAGAGAGGCAAGGCCAAAACGGTTTCTGAAATGTGATAATATTTCCAGATAAACACGTCCGAAACAATCACTCTATGAGCACACAAAATACCTTGTCATGCAACAGCCTTGTAAGCTGACATTCTCCAATGGGGTTAGAAGCATCCTTTTGCCAAAGGAGGGCAGAAAACACAAAATTTTTTTTAGCACATACCACCAACACAGCCTTCAAGACTTAGGAAAAAACACGTAAACTGCCAAACCTAAGCTGAGGATGAGTTATGAATACTATCTCCCTCAGGATGCAGTTTGTTGAGATCATGGCTTCAGCAACAAAACTAGAGAAAGTCTAACATCTTCACCTCATCCTGGCCATTCACGATGCACCACTTCTTCATCCTTATATTGTATGGAGGCAGCTTTTTGTAAAGCCCCGTTGTGAACCATGTCACTGAACTGGTTGGGTAGAAGATAACTTCCTCCCAATCCAAAAAGGAAGGGAATGCAGGGTAGAGAGGAGGGAGACAGAGAAGGACATAAACTTCTTAAGCCCACTTCATCTGAATACCTCCAAAATTTCTGCTGCTGTTCAGAATTGCATAGACAGGCTGCAAAAGCGAGGAAACTGGTCCATCTTTTTATTTTTCGTTGCCGTTTTTCAGAAAGCTGTTAGCATCAGTGACCTTGACCAGATTCTTGCTAATTCCTCTTCAGCAACACAAACAGGCATTGTCCTAGATTGAAAATCATTTTGCATAATCAGGCTTATGTGCTTGATATTAACATAGACATTTTCAGGTTACCACTCCCAACAAAAAGGCCAGGTAATAACAACTACGTTATCATTCCTATGAATATAACTTCAAAAAGCAGAAATGGTTTTATGACATCAACAGAATTATTTGGCCCAAAAATACACAGGGTAGCTTTTATAAAAAGTAATCTGCCCACCATGATGCAGGCTGAATGAACACCTTGCAACAAACCTTTGCAAAAATGTTCATCTCACGTTGCTCCATGACAAAAGATTTAAATATTTAAGTTTGAGATCATGCATTCCACCTACACATTTCAGATGACACTGAAGACACTGGACAAACCAGTTTCACCAATACCCCGAGAAATATCAACTTCCTATTACACAATAGAGGATAGAAGAAGGGACAGAAGCATACTGTCACCCATTCTTTTTTTCTGCTTTGCCATCCTTTTATTGAGGTAAAATTCTTTACACAGGATCCATAACCGCATCACAGACCAGGTTTGCAGAAAACTAAGTTCCACATCCTCCATATATACCCTGTCAGGGTATATATGTGCATTCTCAGACATTTTACTAATGGCAATGAGAATCTAAAAATTCAGTCAGCAGAAATTAAAAAACACTCGCTTGCTTGGACTCAGACAGCCTCAACAGTCGTGACTCTTACCAGATTTAGAAGAAGCATAAAGCAACTAACTCAGATACTGAGAATAAAAACAGTTGCATTGCACATGCCCATAGAGAATCCAGTCTCTTTGCGAGAGCACCACAAATTCTGAAAGGAAATAGGTCGGCAATGATTACCCCTCTCTTGTCATTGTTTTAACATTACTGACATTCACTAAAATAATCTCCCCCAGTGTGTACTTGCACTGAAGTTGGGTTTGGAAACAGTTATCATCATCTGCAATTCAAGGTCATCTGCAATTCAAGGTACACCAATTCAGCTAGGAACTTCTCAAGTGATTAATACATTTGGAAAATATCACTAAGTATTAAATATATACATGTATAAACATGTAAAGATATCAGTTTTCATAAGATATTTAATCTAGATCACTGCCTTTTCTGTTTAGTTCACATCATATTTGTTAAAAAGATTGCCTTTCACAACATGACGGACTTCTTCACGCAATATGCTGTTTACCACACTACCTACAGTACACTCCAATACTATATGAAAAGTTTTAATTTTCATGTATAATCTTTTCAAAAGAAACAAAAATCCCAATGACAAACTTACACTCTAATACAAAAACCTATTAGCGACTTTGTATACTTTTATATTAATCAGCAATCACCACAGTTGCTGTAGTGCATATTATGTGCATAAGGGAATTTATTCTGGATCTAACATGAGGAAAAACACGAGGAAAAAAGATAATTTAATGACATTTCTAGAAAATCTAATTTTTAAATGATTATTCTTGCTAGTCAACTGATTTTCCACAAATCATCATGAAAAGGCTATCAGTGGTTTGGTTTTGCCATCTTAATTATATTGTTACAAAATTTTTACATTTCTGTCAAAACCAGCTCTACAGTGAGAGGCTTAAATATGAGGCATGTGACAGTATGTTGTCAGAATAAGCATCAGACACCAAATCTGTCAAATTTATATGGGTATACCACAAATCGTTATATCCTAGGGGTTTTCTGATTCATCTACAGGATTCATCTTAAGTGAGTGCGTGCAAGCCAAACACACTGTAGATGTTCAGATATATAAAATCACCTTCAAGGGTAGGTTTCCACTACTTCTACTTTGATAATTACTCCAAATATATCGCAGTGATTTTTTATATGTGTGTGTATTTTTTTTTCTGCCCAGGAAAAAAAAGAAATCTGACTGTAAAGCGGAGTCGCACGCTAAAAACAGGAGAGAGAGATAAAAGCTGCAACAGCTATTCTTCTGTCAACTGCAAGCGCTTACCCAAATTCCCCCGCAGCCCTGATCTCCCCGAAAAGCTGTCACCCCACAGCGGCGGCACACAAACCACACCAGATGCGGAGCGAACCGGGGAGAGGCACCAGCGGCCGAGGGGCCGCTCCGAGCCTTCCCCGCGAGCACGAACACGCACGACGCGGACACGCCCTTTGGCCAGGAAGAATAAAAACAAATAAAAAACAAAACACACCACGCTAATTCGCGGAATAAAAAGGGAGCCGAAGGAGTCAGGGCGCCCCGAGCTGAGGAACGCCAGGAATCCCGGCAGGAATGTGCGCGGCGGGCGGCCACGGCGCCCCCCACGCCGCCGCC